CAGGTCGAGGGAGGTGATTCTGCCCCTCTACTCTGCTCCGGTGAGACCCCACCTGGAATGTTGCATCCAGCTCTGGAGTCCTCAGCACAGGAAGGACATGGACCTGTTGGAGCAGATGCAGAAGAAGGCCACCAAGATAGAGGGATGGAGCATCTCTCCAACAAGGAAAGACTGAGAGAATTGGGATTCTTCATCCTGGAAAAGAGGGGTGACCTAACTGCAGCCTTCCAGTACCTGAAGGGAGGCTTACAAGAAAGGGGGAATGGCTTCAAACTGAAAATAGGTTTAGATTAGATATTTAGAAAAAAATCTTTACTGCAAGAGTGGTGAACAGGTTGCCCAGAGAAATTATGGATGTCCCATCTCTGGAAGTGTCCAAAGTGGTGTCATGAAAGGTGTCCCTGCCCATGGCAGAGGTGTTGGAACTACACGATCTTTAAGATCCTTTCTAACTCAAACCATTGTATGATTCTATGATTTTAGTGACAGAAATGAGAAATAACTAAAAGAACGATTCATTCCTTGAACTGATTTTTAATAAGAAAAATCACCACATAGTTCATAAAAAAAATTCAAAACAACTTTAAACACAAATATTATTATTATTTGTATTCTACACTGAAGAATTATTATTATTTGTATTCTACACTGAACTACAGTCAGAGCACTGGTAAAATGTCTTCAAAGGTGAGAGAGAGATAAAGAAAAGCACAAGTTCCAACTCCTGAAGACCATCTGAACAAAATATGATCTGGAAAACTGAAGTGTTGTGGGGTATAAAATTCAGTCATGCTGCATGACAAAAGAGAGGAAGCACAACATGAGGCACAAGCACTATGATTATAATCCCTCAGTAATGAATTAGCTGAAGCATGGAAGAGCCATTTGCTACACACCTTCCTTCCTGTTACCCTTTCTCCCATCTACCCCAAAACTTATAGAGGTCTGCAGAAACGTCCCTTCACCACTGCATCCTGAGGAAGCCTTATGGAACACTGAAAACTGCAGCAGCAGCTTGAGCTAAAATCCCATAGAGCACCACAAGTTACCTGCTGTCTGCCATACGGTCTGATCACATACTACCCAATCCCTTGGCTGGTAGGAGCAAGTCAGAGGAGCAGAAGGTTGCAAAACGAGACTCCGCAGGCGACACCAATTGCTGCTAACAGCTTTAAATGGTTTAACGTGTAGCTGGTGCCAAAATCCAGGCACTAACTGAAGAGGCAGCCATCAGCTATCAAGACAGCAGAAATTCTGGACTTGGAAAGAGAAGAGGTGAACATTACCCTTCCATTCTAATTGTACCCAGGATGGAGGAAGTGTAGTTCAAAAAGGACTATGATTTGGACAATCAATAAATTTCCATTTGCTAGAGCATGGAAAGCCAGGAGATAATGAATTCTGCACTACTGGCAATCCTTGTCCAATTAGCCTGCAGTGTTCGGGAAGCGGCATAACAACTCAACCCTCGGGAAACCCTGCAAAACTCAATGAAAAAAACAATAAATCACCGAACTGCTGGTTTGGTGGGTTTTTTTGTTGGGTTTTTTTGTAGAAAAGTATCCCTGGCAAAACTAGGGTATTTTTTCCTCAACACATCTACTTATCTTTTTCACCTCTTACATTCACCTTGGAGAGCTTCAGTTCTATCCCTGAGCACAAATGCAATACTTCATCACAAGAGCAGGCCAGGGCTGATAAAGCTCCCACCAACACATAGAACTACTCATATCAGTGATGCCACACTCCACACTAGAAACTCTCCAAGCCTGCAGTGGCCCCTACACTGTCACCTACACCTAAAGGGACTTTCAACAGAGATGAGACCAGCAAATATATCCCATAATCCTAGACCAGAGCAAATGGCCCATGGAGGATGGGATCTCTGATAGCAAAATTACAGACTGTAACAGAGTAGGATTTCCTGCATGCATTGACTTGAATGTTTATAGTGAGTTTGTCAATAACTGGGTTATCTTCCTGCTCGGGAGACAAGCAGAATTCACTCTTTATCAGTCTCATCCTTCTGCCTATACTTCACTACTTCTCACAGCCCCCAGCATTTCCCCTAGAGGGACAAAAAGTCCCTGAACATGTCTACCTGAAAAATCATACAAAAAAATAGTCCAAAGATGTTTATCTAAATCTGCTGAGACCTTCAAGTAACAACTTTATGACAATAACTACCCATTGATTTCACAGGTTACACATACAAATGCCAACTTTGTTAATTATTTCAGAGCTCACCTGCAGGAGGAGAGTGAAGGTACGATAACGCAAAACCAGCACTAAACATCTAGAGTTTTGGTTGGACTTTGCACACCACTATCTAGCAGAGTAGTTAAGTACAAATTGCTTCATTTTCATAAAGAGAAATTGGTTTTCAACAGTTCAGAAAATACTGCTACATTGCTTTATATTTTCCTCTTTCAATCACACCATAATAATTCAGCAAATTATTAATGAAACCAGTTATAACCGCTAATACACAAAATAGTGTAGAACAGAAAAATTCTTAACTAGTTGCTGTCTATTCAGTTAGCAAGCATCATCCCCACGTAACAGATGGGTACAGGGAGTTACTGGGTAAGTTCTTCCGCTAGCACTGTGCAAGGGGACAGAATGCAAGTCCCCCATGGCACCTACACTGCTCATTGATACCTATCTGCTGGGCAGAAACCTCTTGCCAGAGCCAGTTCACAACCTCCTAGCAGTATGTTGAATTGGCAATGCTGTTGGAGAAGGAGTGCAGGAGCCCAGAGACTCAGAAGCCACGAGGACTCACCAGGGGATTTTCCAGCTGCCCTTCCTGGGTCCCTGCCCGCGGCAGCGTGGCCCAGCAGTGACCTGATGGCACTGGCAGCCTGCCAGGGCTTACACCGCTTGACACTGCTAAGGGAACTACAGAGCATTGCAGAGAAAAGGGAGGAAGGCTCGAGAAGAAGTTTTTAATTTTCCACAACTTTTGATGCACTTCTTCCTCCTAGGGCAAGGTTTCCACGTGGTATCACTTCTGCTTCCCCACATGACTAAAAGATTGCATGCACTGGAGGTACCACAGACAAAAAAGCAGGGGCTCTCCCAGACCTCCCAATCCCTCCTACAATGTTCACCCCCAGAGCAGCTTTTATTTTGTTTTCTTCCTGTCTACAATAAAGACGCTACCATAATTAAAGCAATGATTCTTTTACTTTGTATAAGCTTGTTAAGAGTGCTTTACGCTTAAACCCATGACAAATGTACTCTTTCATTATTTACACAAACGACTTTTAGAGCATTCTCCTGATGGACTGTTATCATTACTGTATAATATGTAATCTGAAATTAACATAGCATGAAAAACTTGAAAAGAAAAAGATTTATAACTAAATAATTGAGAAAATGCTCTTATAGCACTTGGCATGACAGCATGATTCAGACACACAACCACAATATACTGAAGTAAGAATGTCACTGTTAGCTCTTCCAGAAACAGCAGAAAAATCTGACCAACGCAAGAATAAGATCAGCAGAGTCACTTTTTGGATTATCATTTGTTGGAACCATCATAAACAACTGGTAGACCTTTAGAAGTGAGATCATCTTATCTGTTAGTACAGCCTGCAGGAGAAGGAAGCAAGGTGACAACTTCCATAATTCTTTGTAATAAAAATCTTCTATTCCCCTCCCCAAAATTTAAGAAAACTACCTAGTTCAATTATGGGAATAATCTAGAGGAAGCATAAACACGTAGAATTTTTGGTTCATGATGCAAGCCTTAATAAAATACCAACAAAACAAAATAAAATGCATTATCTTGTCTTGGAATATTTTGTTTCAGTGTAAAAAACAGTCTTTCAAACCATGAAGAACACAGGACTATTCTTCTCCCTCCACCCCACAATAAACAGATGTGAATACCTGGTTGCTTCCTTCAGATGAAAATTTCGTAATACAATATACATCTTACCCTGCCTTAAACCACATGCAGTGTAAATGCAGATTTTGTAAATCACATTACTTCAATAGGGGAACTTCTGTTCATTGATTTAGTGATTTTCATTGCTAAGCTCACATAATGAAAATAGTCAACTTCAATTACATATTTTTAATTTTAGAGTGTTTGCATTTCAAGTACTCGATAATATATGGCTGTTTTAAGAGCCATTTCTGCAAAAATTACTATGTTTTTGAATCGTCCATTTGAGACACCTAGCATCTTCAGCCAGGGTCAAACCACCACATACATGCACTAAAACAAACTTGGAAGTAAAATACTCAACCCTGAGACTCAGCAGTGAAAAGCCGGTACAACAAAACATGACTAGTTATTGACTAGTTATTCCTTCTTGCACTGAAACATACTCTTACCTGTAATTTCAAGGTACTTAAAACCACATCATAACAGCTCTGCAAAAACCACACCCTTCATTAGGTATTTCAGTCAACTGACTTCACCTTTCTGTAGCACTAAGATATACTAGATAAACATGTATTGCTTTAAAGTTTTAAAAAGTGACAACGCTACTAGAAAAGATGACACAGAATACAGATGCAGAGTATTAACAGTCCTCCACTACAGAATCCCACTCTATTTCATGACAGAGTCTTTAAATACAGGTATTTTAAAGAATATCTGCTGAGAGCTGAGGAAAAGCCATTCAATCTAAAGAAGCTGTGATTTCAAATGAAATGAAACAAGCAGCACAAAGGCCACCAAATACCCACATCAACATTCCACCATGTGGTTACAGTTCAGTCTTGGAAGTCAAAACATGCATGCTAAATTCTCAAACTTCACAAACGCAGTTGTCATTCTCAATTTCCAAGAAGTCTAGGAAATCACACGAGTTCATCAGAGCTCGGCTGCCTTACTTCATTTAAGATTATGTTCACTGGTTGACTGCAATAAAAACATGTATCAAAAGATCCTCTACAATTTTTTCAGAGAGGAGATCAGATGTCAAAATCTCCTTCAAATAAAGCTGCATTTGAAAATTAACCAACAAAAGAAACTTTACCTTAATTGGAGCCCGGCTAAACTGTATTTTTCTGTTGGCTGGGATTTCGTCTTCATCTGGCAGTCCATTAATTTCAGAATATTCCATATCAGGTTCATAACAATTATTTTCATCACTGTCATCTAAATCATCCTGTTCTGTACCTGTCTCTCCCCAGTCAGAATTATATCTGGATCGTACCCGATACACATTATAGTCAGAGTGCATGTACACGTGGGAACTCTGAAAATTAATCACATCTTCATTCACATCTTTTTCATTTGTCTCATCATAATGGGACTCAGTAGTATCTGAAACCGCATCCGTGGCAAAATCACCACCTGAAGCAACATTTCTGGTTAATTCTGCAGCTTCAGGTCGATCAAAGATACCTTCTGTATTTTCTGACTGTTCCTTTTGTTGCACCAAAACTCCTGCCTCTGTTTTTGACTTACTCCTAGAACAGCGGTCCACAGGTCTTTCACTGTCAAGCACGCTGGCCAAATCCTGTTGACCTGTTGCAGAGCTCCCAACAGAATCAGCACTTGCCTCTGTCCTCTTCTTTATTTCTTCAGTTGTTTTTGAACCTGCTGAAATGCCTGTAGACACTTTCTGTCTTGGTGTTGAAGGTGTGTTAGTTTGCTGAGAATTCTCAGCAGACATCACGCCTGTACTTTGTTTGGCTGGGGGAGACCATGTGCTAGCCTCTTTCAAAGGACTGAAACCCTCAAGGTTTGCAACTGGGGAGGAGATACTTGTGACACTAGATGAGAGGTTTAGTGGATAGTGACCAGTTACAGAGTACTCTTCGTTGTTTTCTGACTTTTCTACAACGATTGCATTGTGTGAGTCGGTGTTTTCAAAAACCGCGCTGAGCTGACTCACAGTTGGAGAGACGGTCTCTGTTCTTGGGCTAAGACTGTCCAGTGAATCAGTGCTGCCTCTGTGAGACTTGGAGCTACACCACTCATCCGGAAGCTCGTTGGAAATGATTTTCTCTTTCTTTGGGGAATAGCGATTTGAGTGTCCCATTTCATGAGCATTTCGCTCAAACATCTTTCGAGTTTCAGTAAACTTGGAATAGGAAGGACCATCATGGATAGTATCAAATCTACTAATCCTTTCTGAAACAGATGATTCCAATTTTACAATTGAACCATCTGCTTTTTCTACAAATTCTTTAGGCCTAATTCGTCTTTGAGGTGATGTAGGGCCACCCTTCCCCCTGGTTTTAGGGGCAACTCCAGCACTTTCAGTGGGCTCCATGCCCATCTGCATAAATAAGTTCTTGATCCGATTGACATTTGAGCCATATTTCCTTCCCCTGCTCTGCGAGGCCTCTCCTTCCTCTTTCGCTTTTTGGTCTCCATCTGATTTCGGTTTGTCAAAGGTGCTTTTCAGCGCCTGGAACTCAGTTCTGTAAGCATTTCTGTGAGGAGAGGCACTTCGGAGGGTTGATCTTTCTCCTGAAGACTCTGTTTTCATCATGTTTACTCCAGGACCACAAAACCTGCTTGCATAGTTTCTCTGGCACCACTCTCAGTAGTTTGTCACAGCTGAGATTCTGCTTGAGGAGTGTTTTTCCTCAGAGGCCACTGCTCTTCAGCAGGAACATCCTCGACAGAAGATCTGGAGGCAAATATCTAAACACATGCAGTCAATTCCGACAAAGCAGCACGACCAAGGACTCAAGAACAAGGGCTGATTCAACCTGCAATAGAAAGGAAGGTTTTCTGAACCATGTCAGGTACTGTTACTTTAAATGTCACAATTTCCACTTAACTGTTATTTGAGACGTTTACAAAAAAATACTAAAAAAAAACCCCCAAAAACCCAACCTGCGCAGCCACATGAAAACTTATCATTACAAACTTTTTCAAAGTGACTTTTACAATCTATAACATCATTCTATAGTGAAAGAAGAGATTATCACATCTTATCATTCACAAGTACCATGGCACAAATACGCACGCAAAGGAAAGGCAACGTGACATGAAATGTGAGCCACTGCAAGACAATCTTTCCTCTCTCATAGAAACATAATGGTAGAAATACAATCAAAGATAATATGCTTAGAAAGGCAAGTTAAACATCAGCTCGAGGGAATTCAAAAAAATGCACCCAAAGTTAACATCCTCATTTGACATGGTAAAGAAAGTGAAATCCCGTTAGAGAAAGTTGCCCCTTGTCACGGGCAGCGGTTTTAACATCTGGAGGAGCCTGGAGGTGCCCAACGCGGAGATGCAGAAACAGAACCAAGGGCTGGACCCGTTCCCCTCCCCGGACCGCGGGGCTCGTCCCCGGTCCCCGCAGCCCAGCTAAGGGCAGCACGGCGGTCACCCAGAGCCAAACCCTCTCCCTTCCCTTCCGTCCCTCCTCCCCAGCCCTCGCCCTGCCGCGCCGCCGCCGCTCCCACCGAGGCGGAGACGCCTCGCTCTGCCCGCTGCACACACGGTGCCGGTACCACCGCCCGGAGCCCCCGCGCCCTGCTCCCGCCGGTCGCCACGGGCGACTGGAAAGGCCACGCGGCAGCGGCTCTCGGCGAGACCCGCCGCTCTCGCAGACGGCAATAAACTTAACCCGAGCGGACAGCGCTGGAGCCCCCGCGGCGGCTCCTCCTCGGGCAGCCGTGCCGCGCCGCCGGGCAGGAGCCGCGGGCGGCAGCACCTTGCGGCAGGGCAGTGCCCGGGCAGCCGCCCGCCGCCCCCGTGGAACAAAAGCCCGGTGCCAGGGCTGCTCCTCACGGAGCCCGGCGCCTCTCCCTCCGAGCGCGCATCCCGCCTTACCCAGCCCACAGCCGCGACGGGCTCCCCCGACCGCCCGGCTCAGCGCTGCCCCCGCGCCTCCTCTGCGCAGAGCGGCCGCTGCCGCCGCCCGCCTGACAGGAGGCAGCAGCCGCCGCCGCGTCGCCTCAACGCCATTGCAGGCAGCGGCAGCGGCGGCGGCGGCAGCGGGGCACGGACACGGCTCCGCGCGCACACCCGCGGCGGCGG